GAATCGCAATCTGATCCATACTCGTCCTCACAACCATTGATGGGATACTTATCGAAATCACAAGAACCTAATAATGTCTGACACTTCACTGATGCCATCAAACACCACAAAAACACTACTATTGCTCTGCATTTCATTGTCACCATTGGAACCATTGGCTTAAGAGTTGCAATAAGTATCAAGCAAAGGGATACATTGAGATAATTATTGAGACCATCGTTGACGGAGTGTTTGAAAAGTTTTTTGTTCCCAAGTTTGTGATCATTAGCGCAATGAAAGTGCTATTCATATGAATGTGAGACCAGTTTAGTGGCAAACAGAGTGACTAACACTCGACCACTCAATGCTTCACTGGTTGTTGTATTCAGTGATTCACTACAAGTGGTTCACAACAACTTGTATTCAGTATTCAAAAACTTGTATTCAGTATTCAGTATTCAAAAACTTGTTCCTATTATTGAAAACTCTATGTTTGAAGTTATTATAGTTTTAGATAATATTCATTATTTTATTAATTCATTTTAACCGCTTTGACATATGAGATAAAAGTTTGTAATAATCTCAAAGTTTTGTAATCAAATTGCATAGACGACTGGCCATTTGAGATATCCTATTCAAAGTAAACATCAAAATGTAGGGTGTATTTGGGCTTATTATAGTGAGGGTCATATTGAATAAACAGAATAACATAACATGAGTCACTTCATGGATTCTATACAGTAGTCTGCATACAATTACATAACACAGTATAATATGCCTAATAAACAGGGCATCACTTTAACAAGCAATTACTGTACTTTAATTGAGTTTAATTACTTTAAATTTTATTAAATATTCCAAAAAATACACACTTTTAGTAAATAAAAATTTGAGTTACAGTATATCACGGTATAAATTGCTTAATTCAAGCATTCAGCCAAATATATAAAATAGCAATTTAAATATATAAATTTGAGTTTAAAATATTTTAGCATTACGTGAGGTAAAGGGCCACCCATTGAGCACTTTGGTGTCAAATTACCATCAAATAGACATCGATTCTAAGAACCTGTGCTCAATATTAACGAGTAATTTAAAATTTAATTCTTATATAAAGTAAATGTAATAAAAACCATCGGTATATGTTATAATAAAATATCCTATTCTTAAATATAAGTTATTTTCTTGATTATTGTATAACTTCTTAACACTTTGAAAGACTTGAAAGACTGCGCGAATGGATCCCAAGTTTAGCTCAAATTCGCCAATTCGTAGACATAGGCGGCGAAGACTTTGGTGCCTTCGATGTAATTCCTTTTGTTGATCTTCTCGTTCTGGGAGTGGGCGCCGTCGTCGGCCGCACCCATCGGCAACAGCAGCACATTCTTACCGGTCGCCTCCTGGAAGGTCAGCGTCACGGGTATGGATCCGCCCTCACGGGTCAGGTCCGGCTCCACTCCGAACACTAATCAACAGATTGACAATTATTGTAGTTTTTGGTCATTATTAAGACTATTGTGAGCACTGGTATTGTGTGTCCCATCAGATACTCCAAATGCCAGTAATCATTCCCCAAACCATTACTGTTTCTGTTTTTGCAAATTCATCGCAGATTTCATGTAAATCTTAAGTCAAATCCAAATATATTATATAATTTGCAAAAGTTTTTATAAGCTTTTATAAAATTGTCTAAATATTGACTATCAAGACATAGGTTAAAAGCATTTGATGAGTGTTTGGAAACAATAATCGTTTGAATCAAACCTTTTACTATCACATCATTTGGGACACAAAATCCATTCAATTCATTATATTTCAAGCAGTAAGCAAAAAGTGAGACCTGTTTTCATGGCTTTGCGGGCGGCGCTAAAGTTGGGGTCACTTGGATCGGAAACCCACGGTTTGCCGGCATTAGGCATAACAACCTTCAGTTTGTTAGGACTGTCCATCTTTTTGAACTCACTGTTCAAGTAATCGATCACTTGTTTGCCAACTTTTTCCGGGTCCTGATTGGGTACCAGTCTTATGGAGAACTTTCCCACAACTTTACGCGGGATTACAGTCTTAGCGCCGGCGCCGGCAAACGCGCCTTCAATTCCTGCCAACAAATTACAAATTCATTTAAATTATTCATATATTCAAGACATTGAGTGACAAACCGTGTAATGAAAGGGATGGATATCTCCAGCGATGGGTCAGAGTTTTGACTTTATCGCAATGGATGAGTCTTTGAGTGCCCACTTCGTCGCGGAACTCATTGCAATCGAACTCAATCTTATGGTAGAGGCCCTCCTC